CCTAACATCTTGAATTGCACCAGGAGTTATGCATAGCATGCTTTAGAAGCTACTACTGTAGAAGATTTAAGATACGTACAGAAATAGCTGACCTAAGAAAGAAAGTTCTAGCAGCCATTAATTGCTATCAGCAAAGTATAAACAAACCATGGAGAGATTCAAGGAGGGAGAAACAGCTTCTAGCAGCAAAGCACATACTTACATACACATGCTTACATTGAACAAATAGGACAAAGGGCTTCGGCAAACTCTGCCTTCATAAATTGTGCTGAAAGTCATTATCAACACTTCCTCACCTACCTCATCTTATCCTGTAAAACATCTGCTTCTTTAAAAAGAAGTTGCATGCTAACTCTTCAACTAGAAATTGAAAATCATGATTTTCCTTTCAGGAGGAGGAAGGATGGGAACAAAACATGCCTTCCGTGATTTTACTAAAAAATCTACTGCTCATTAAAGCCATATATTTAGTATGGGCAGAGAGCAAAAAGGGCAGATAGCCAACGGGGACTTCTTGGACAAAACCATGCTTCTCTGTGAATTCCGATTAGCAATGCTGTGTTATTGGCTGACTTTTGAACATTCTGTTCTATTTGAAACAGCTGGGACAGAAGGAAGACTGTATGTCCTACAGAAACCCAATTAGGCCTGATCAAAGAGAGGTCAGGAAATGCTTCTGTTGTCTACAGAGAGACAGAGGAAATGTTTTGTCAGATTCAGCTTTGAATTGAATTCTAAATATAAACTTTTAGATCAGGCTTTGTCCAGTTAACTTGGTCAGCCTAGTACAATAGTATATTACACACTCAGCAATTGTGGACATTGGTCCTGCTGAAAATCTTGACAGGTTTCTAGAAATCTGATTATTTTTGTCCCGGTGATTGCCATGGGAGTAAACAGCAGGTGACAGCTCTAGCCTGGATTGAAAGAGAACCTGACTTCTACACTTCCTGCTAACCCTTCCCTCCAGCAGCACTGTGGTTACACTGGATGTCTCACTGCCTTCCTACATCAGCAACAACAGGAGAGAAGCCAGTTGCCAACATGGCTCTGCTATTCCAACAGTTATTTGTCTGTCAACAGTAACACAGCCAGGCCTCCACAACTGTAATGCTAATAGCAGTCCTCTTCCAAACAGATGCAGACAAAAGACTTCCCTGTACCTTGTCATCACAGACCTCTTTTCAAAAGACTTTGGAGCATCTTTCTTCTCTCAGAAATCCCCTTGCAGTTTATTGAGGCCTCTGTTATAGCCTTTAACCTTTTCTCCTTTGCCCTACAGTTGTCTGTACGAAGGCTTTGAATTCTTAAGGTTGGTAATGATTTTTCTTATTATGCCATTCTCTCTAGCCCCTAGCATAGTGCCTGTATATAGTAGAAACTCAATAAATATTTGTTGAATGTTATATTTAAAAACAACAACAAACATGAATGTCCTACAATTAGAATGGAAGTTGCAAAAAGGCAGGGATCTTTGTCTATTTTGTTCACTGATGTGAGTCCCATGCGTCTAGTAAGTTCCTGGCACATAGTTGACATCCAATGAATATTTTTTGAATGAATAGATAAGTATTATGACTTTCTAAAGAGCTTGGGCAGTATTTATTTGATGGGTAAATAAAGAAGAGGCAATATTTTACATACGTGCAAAGGAAGAAAGACTAGATTGGTAATTTCTCCTTTCTCTACACCAGGGGTTGGCAAACTTTTTCTATGGAGGGCCAGACAGTAAGTATATTAAGCTTTTTGAGCCATACAGCTTCTGTTGCTACTACTCAACTCTGCTGTTGAGTGTGAAAGCAGCCATGGACAATATGTGAGTAAATGAGTGTGGCTGTATTCCAATAAAACTTTATTTACAAAAGCAGTTGGCAGGCAACATTTGGTCCATGGGTGGTAATTTGCTGACTCCGGCTCTGAAACAACTGTGCAAGAATTATCTATCAGGATTAAGACAAATAGATAATTATTCCCTCCTTGAAGACCATGCCTTTTTTTTTTTTTTTAAAGATTTTATTTATTTTATTTTTTGCCCCCAAAGCCCCAGTAGATAGTTGTATGTCATAGCTGCACATCCTTCTAGTTGCTGTATGTGGGACTCGGCCTCAGGATGGACAGAGAAGTGGTCCCTCGGTGCGCGCCTGGGATCCGAACCTGGGCCACCAGCATCGGAGCACGTGCACTTAACCACCAAGCCACGGGGCTGGCCAGACCATGCCTTTTGTATCTTTACACACCCTGCATTCCCACCTCTAAAAGGTAGTATAGTGCTTTACAATATGGTAGCTGCACAGTATATGTCTGTTGAATTAAACTAAATCTTACAGTAATTGATTTCCCGGAACTGCAGTTTTCAGGAGAACCAATGAATTCAAGTCTCTGCAATGTCTTTTCTTCAATCTCTGTCCTAGCAAAATATGTGGGAAGTTAATAGCACTGAAATAATGTCTTAGGAAACTGGTACACCTTCTCTCTTGATAGAAAGAACCCCAATGCCTCTTATTTGAAACATTTTCTTCTGGATGTCAATGATTAAACAGAGGTAGCTATTCTGATTATCCATGAAGCCAAGAAATGATTAACAACTTTCCCCCTGCCCATTTGAGCTCACATTTCTTTTGAAACTGCCTCCCCTCTCAGTCTTTTTAAATAAACTATTTTCATAAAAAGCATATAAGCAATGATCATGGGTATCTACAATTGGCAAAAAAATGTGCTCCCACATGTTCTTCTCCAATGACTACAAAAAATGTGACATTCTCATGAGTTTTGCATTAGATTACTGTATTATTTCAGGCCAGACATCTGTTAAATACAGTGATAGTCTACATATTTACCACTGAAATGGATCAACGTTTTAAAATGTTTAAGTAGTATTAATGTGGAACAATGTTATCATAAAATGTGCATTGTGACCCTTTCCTATACTTGCACTTCTATCTGCAAAATCTTCAAACTTATTTCTCATTTTGCTAAGTGTTGGCCTCACTTAAAGCCAGGCCTGATTTCCTCTTCAGCTGCAAATGTAATTTGAAAAAGAACTCCAATGAGATTAGTTGTTGCACATGTTAAACATTCACAGCTTTGCCATATGCTGTTATGGAAATTGCACTGATTTATAGCAATTTGGGTGCTACCAGATAGCACTGATTCACCTTATACTAAATCTAACTGTATTGGGAAATAATGTTTTAAATGTTTCATTTGCATCTAGACCTCTGTTGAACTAAGAGGCATGTATTGTGTTTATGTATTTTTGGAGACAACTGATTTTTCCATATTAAAAATACAGTCCTACGTTTGGTGACTTCCGGAAAAATTAAGGCATATGAGGTCCAAATTTACACTGACATAGCCTAGTGGTCAAGGACATAGATTATCCAAGGCAGGTTTAGGTTTTAATCCTGATTCAATCACTTAATTGCTCTCTAACCTTGCTTTCTTCAACGGTAAAAGAGCAAAAACAATGGTGCCAACCTGATAGGGTTGCTGTGAGGATTAAATGAGATAATGCACATAAAGCATGCGACATCTACAAAAAGAGCAATTTCATGTGGTTTGTCCTAATATATGCTTAATAATGAATAGCTATTATTATTAGCTACTGTTGCCTAAGCCTTCTACTTCTGTTTAAGGCTAGTGGCACTCCTTTAAGTGGTGGGGAAATGCTTGACTACGTGGGACCTGATGGGAATGTTGGAAGACAATTTAGTGAACTTAAAATTTGCCATATGAGACAGCAAGGTCACTACTATAGGCAATAAACTCCATTTTTAAAAAACAAAGGTAAAAAAGCACAAAGTCACAGGACACTCTTCACAATAAGGGTAGCAATAATGTGGCATAATTGTGTTAAGTTTTTGTTTGGGATGGGGAAAGGGAGCGCTCATTTTAAACATGGTAAGGAGGACTTATGGAAATGAACACTGTCTTTATATCCACTGAGCATTCAATCCAATTACATTCAGAGGAGGGAAGATGCTTCTTAGAAATAATTATATTTCGCTGTAATAAGTGAATATATACACTGTAATGAATATTCATACATGTTGAAGTTTGTAAGAATATAAAAAAGTCAGAAGAAACTTTAGTTTTTTCTTTTGTTTTTCCTAAATTGACATGGAATGTACATGTGAACATAGATGGATTCTCTCTAGGTCAGTGTTCTCAATGGGGGGCAGTTTTACCCTCCAGGGGACATTTGACAGTGTCTGGAGACATTTTTTGATGCCACAACTCGGGATGGGGGAATGCTACTGGCATCTAGTGAGCAGACTCTAGGGATGCTGCTAAACATCCTACAATGTACAGGACAGCCTCTACAACAAAGAATGATCTGGCCCAAATGTTAATAATGCCAAGGTTGAGAAACCCTGCTCTAGGCTAATAACTGTTCAGGGTCAAATGGACTTAAAATCACCCACACCCTAGGTGGATCTTGGGGAGACTCTAGAGAATGGTAAGCTTTTTGTCAATATGGTCAAATTTTCCCAGTCTCCTGTGTTGATTCCACACTAATGAACCATAAGTTGAAGCAGTAGTTCACATCCTCAGGAAAACAATGACTGTAAATGCCAAGGCAATAGTTGACAAAGTACTATGTGTTACTCGACCTTGGGGACATCAGCACCAAGAGCAGCTGGACTTATGCATAGAGGAGGGCAACCATCCACACTAAGCCTTTGACCAACCACGAGACCAGGGGTTTCCTGGCTCAGGATTTCTTAAGCAATATAATACCCATAGACAAACAACATATTAAGTAACAATGGCATAAACTTAAAGATTAGCTCCAAGGTAAAAAGTTATAGGCACAATCTTTGGCTTTTTGTCTCTACTCCCACAAAATTGGAAATCTATTCACATATCGAGGAATATCTTTTTTTTTTTTTTTTAACAAGTACCCTTACACAAACCCTACAGGGGCTCCTTAAAAGGCTGTAGCCATAAACATGGATAACGAATGCCCAAAGACTGAAAATGTATACCAAGGACATTACTTTGAAGTTTTTGATTCTGTACTTGGTGTCATCTCGGTGCTGCTGAAGAGACTCTCTGTGAACTCTGTATTTAGAATATCTCCCATCAATTCTCTCGCATAAACTGCGGGAATCCTGGAAAAACAACAAAGAGTCTAAACTGAAAAATCAGTACTTGAAATTAGAATAAGAAAGTATTGATATGTAGATAATAAATGATTACAGGTGTTCAGAGAGATATATAGGGGAACCATAGGTCCCGAAGGATAAAGAAGAAAATGTTCACTTTGGATGCTACCATAAAAACAGGGTCCCAGATGGTTATTTGCATTCTTTTCACAACTAGTCCCTATGCCAATCTGAAACACCCTTTAGTTGAAGGGAAAAAGGTTCAAGTAACAGTGAGTCGTCCAAAGACGGTCATTAATGACACCATGCCACTTTTGGATGTTCTGTACTGTCCCTTGAGTAGTAACTGGCATCAAAATATTCTCTTTGTTAAAAAAAAAATGCTACCTTTAAAATTAGAGCCCTTTTTCTTCACTAATTCTTAAACAACATTCTGCCTTTTAACAATTATATCACGTACATTTTTAAACGTAAGGATATCTCATCTGCCCTCCAAAGCATAAAAAAGTTCAGGTAATAAATTAAGAAAGCAAAAATTTCCAGGGCCTGTCTCTCTCTCTTCCTCTCCCCTCTCTTCTCCTCCCCTCCCATACCCTTCCTTTCTTGCTTTCTATTTTCCCCCTCATTTGGGGGGGAGAGGATGGAACACAGCAAACAGTCATGATAGCCAGTTATTTAGACATTTGTATTATAAGTTAGGGAGAAATTAGAATAAAATGAGGGAAACTGATGTTCACATGTAAGAAAAATCATCTGTGGGACTTAGTTCCCCAAATAGTCCCAAGGAACTTATTGACTGTTCAAGCTGGAAGGGATATTAGAATTCCAAAATTCTCATTTTTGTTAAAAAAAAGCTACAGCCCAGGGAAGTTAAGAATGATTTGCCCAAGGTTAGGCAATTTGTGGTGGACTGAGCTTGGAACCCAACGCTATTCCCTTTCCATCATACCAAATGTATAATGTTTAAATGTGGAATTATAGAACTGAACCACTTCTTTAAAAAGGTTAAAAAGAATAAGAGAGAGACTGTGACACATTTAAAGAAGACTATAGTCAAGACTATCTAAATAAGATGAGGTTTGTATTCACATTTGGAGTCACAGACTACAGTATTTTCAAGAAATATACATGTGAAATATATTTTCACATATATGCTAGTGATGCCAGTGTGAGGAGGAACTATAGAGATAATAATCTTCAAGTCCCTCATCTTATGGATGAGGAAATATTCCCTGAGATATTCAGGGTTTTCGTCTGGTGCATGAGCTCGGACCAGAACCTAGGTCTTTGGACTCTTGTCCACAGCATACTGACTTTTAGAAAGTTAAGGCTTTGAAAAATATAATCTACCTCTAATAATCTAAAGGCTTTATGTATTTGTATTTAAGGCTGTGTCTAGTTGTTTTCATTAAATTGATTAAATGAGCTCTTTTTAATCATATAAATAGCTTTAGAGTACATAAAGACTGGGTTTCAAGCTAGAGGCAGTAGGGAAAGCAGATAGGCTTCGTTCTTAATACACAGAATTAGATTCCAGTTCCAAATAATTTACACACTCCAAACATCAGTTTCCTCAGCTATAAGATGGAGGAAAATAATGCCCATCTATAGGGTGTCTCTGAGGATTTGAAAAAATGTAATGTAAAGTACTTAGCTACCACTTGCCACGTAGTAGTGTATAATACTTGCTAATGAACTCCTTTCCATTTCAAAGGTGACGGTTTCAATTTTAATGACTAATATTGGAAAGTACAATTCTGAATTGTGAAAAATGTTCTCCCCAGAAATTTCACTATATGGGCATCGTCATATGTGATGTGTGTATATATAAGCTAGCCTTGTAGATAATCACTAGCCCATATAATGAAAAATGATAATGAAAAAATCTGTTGGTAATAGTAGAGAACAGAACTTTTAAACTGTACTTATGAATATTCTGTTCGGCGTAGACCACTGGGGAAAAAGTGAGCTGGCATTGGAGGTTAAACTTTATGTTTTTATGCTGTTGTAAGACAGGCATCTGTTTCTCAGTGACAAATGCCACCTGTTTCCAACACCTTTTCTTGTCTGCCCTTCATTCACTTAGATGACTTCTGTTAGCTACAGAGAAAAAGGTGGAAAGGATGTGGGTGTAACATATTGCCTGCTTCCACACTGGGTAATATAAGAGTAAGTAGAAATCACATCTTCTTGGAGAGTGGTTTCATAATTCTTTGATAGGAATATAGATTGCAAATATATAATCAAATCATGAGAAGGAATCCAAACTTTAGTAAAATATCCTAGAAACACTTGGTTTTATTCTATTTGTGATAGTCTAGATTTCTGGATGTGTCAGCTCAACCCTAGATCCCACTCAAAAATGTTTAGTTACTGAACCACCGAAATACTAAAATACAAATTAATGAAAGGCAATTCTAAGATAGTGCAGATCTTGAGAGCCTCATCATACCAGTGCCTCCAAAAAATCAACATGGCATGATCAGGCTATATTTCCTACTTATTATACCCTCAAATAATATGTCAGATTTAAACAGAACATAAATATAAGTCATATTTTAAAGCCAATGTGCAGTAAGAGGCTAAGTGGACAAAGACAACTCTCACCATTGTTAGATTCAGCCATATAGGGTCAAGAAATTATAAATCACTAAAATTGTTCATTAAATATGCATCCCTAAGGGGGTATGTGAAGATGTTCTCCAGACTGGACCTTGTCTGCTAGGACTGGGTGGCAGGGTTACATGCTTTGCATCTCTCCTCTATGAGGAACTTTAAAATATTACAGTAGATAAATCCAACATGTAATTAATTGGCTTGATAAATGAAATGCTTTGTGGTTAGAGTTCTATCAATAAATGGCATGGGATATAAAATCTAAAACTCTATGTGGATTTGAATTCATATATCATAGTATCGGAATAACCTGAGCACTATCATATCTCTAAAACAAACAGTGCTCTGGAAATTTGTAATTAAAAAAAGATAATTCATAAATTAAAATTGCTTATCAAAAAACATATCTATTGTCAATGTAATGTCTTACCTCTTTTAATTCTTAAGTTTTTCTAAATTATAGTTAAAGCTTTCGGTGGCCAAATGAGCTTCTAATAGTAAGGTAAAAGTTTCTATTTTCCTATATTGTGCTAATATATAAGTTCCATTATTTTCAATTTTAACTTCACAAATGTCAAAAAACTCTGATAAGATGGAGTGTTAAAAGTCCCCAATATTTTTCGGTCTTTCCTCCCTCCCTACAATTTTCTTTGCACATCAGGAAGATGTCAAGTGTTTTCACTCAGATAAAAATACTGAAAGAGACAAGCCAACTCTTTCTCACTCTGAAGTCTTTGAAATCTTCTAGTAGGCTCAGTTTCTCAGGCACAGACTCCAGATGGTCCAAGGCCACTCGGGTACTCTGGAAAAGAAAACATAAGGGAACCAAACATTATAAAAAATTGATTAATACTCTCAGAATCCAACTACTAAAAATCAGTTGTACCACTGGTCTAAGCAGTTCAAGCTGAAGACTTGGAGAGTCAAATAAGAACAGATATAACAGTATTTCTCAGGTAAATACATCTTTTTAAATCAGAAGAATTATTTCCTTTCACAAAGTATATGAGACGCATTTGCCAGACTGACTCAGATATGAAAACTCTTCCTGAATAATTGCTTTCATCTGATATGCTATGAAACTTTCTATAGAGTATTTCATATTAATAGTAATTTACAAACCTGCTTCAGTGAACATCAGAAATAAACCACAAGGTAATACTGAGAAATAGATGAATTTGCAGTTACTTATCTACGCAGCACATTAGAGATCCTCACACGTTGCCATTATAAAGAAGAAAAGAGTTCTCAACAATTATTTTAGCTAACAAGGAAAAGAGGAGCAGTTCTCAAAAGACTTGGGAGAAATATGTGAAATTAAATATTTGTGACAAGGATATGAGATCTTGTTGATTATAGATCAATAACTTATACAGTCTTTGACTAGCTGGTCACTGATTTACATCCACCAATATAAACATTAAGAGGGAATGATCTGAAAATTATTTCAAAGCCAATGTGAACCAAGAGGTTAAATGGTAGAATAACCTAGAGACCAGAGATTGTATCATATGTATCTCTGTATTCTTAGAACTGCCACAGGGCCAGCACATATTAGATAGGCAACAGATATTAGCTTTTAAATTTAAAATGAATTTTAATTATTCAATTAAATAAACAACAAACCCCATGGCTGGTGCATGAGAAGAAAGTGAAGTGTCTTGCAAGAACCTGGACATAAGTTTGCACAGAGTTGTTAAGAAGTTATTGGCCACCCAATATTCCATGTGCTCCCCTACATCTCCCATGTGAACGGTTCTGAACAATATACTATGAGTGCAAGTGACATGTGTCACTTCTGGGCCAAGACAGTTAAGAGCCTGTGTGCTCCCTCTTCCATCCCAGCCCCTGCCAGGAGGACCTTGGAGGCCACATGCTCCAGATGGCATACCTACAAGACAGAGGAGAGCCATCAACCATATTGGACTTCATGTGAATCAGTCATCAACCTCTATTGTGTGTTAAGCCAGAAGATTTCAGAGTTTATTAGTTACCAGTGTATATCACAGCATTAATTCTTGCAAATAATAACTGAGAATTACATAATTAAATTGTAGGCTAATCAGGTGGTCAATTGGCTTTTTTTTTTTTTGGTGGGGGAAGGTTCCAAATTATGAGTATATGAGCATTTAAAGGGGGGTTCAGTTTTTCTGGAACTAGACAGGGTTAGGAACTGGTGTTCTCATCATTTTGTACATCCACTTTTACTTAAACTTCCTATTTTAAATCCCCTATCTCATCCCAGTGCTGTTCTCTGCCTTCATCTCCAATCCAGAGCTTCTCCAGAGCATACACTTATATCTCTGCAGGGTTTGTGTCAGGGCCGGGATGGAGACAGAGAGTTGAGGATCTAAATCCTCCTTGCAGCCACATTCAATGTGTTCATTTCCACCTTCTGCTTTTGCAGTAATTGGTACCTCCAATTCAAAAGCCTTTCTGTGAATCTGCAGGGTGACTGATATTTGCTTTCCATCGCCATCCCCTTGACAGGCATTTGAGTTTCAACTTCTTTGTTTTGAGTGATTTTACCATTTTTCTTTCAACGTTCTTCCACTTGGAGTTACACATGTCTTCTAGTTATCAACATGTAAATCAGTGTTTCTATTGCTTCATTTCCTTATTTTTCTAATGTGATTTTTGAGAGAAGAGCAGAAACACCCTTACTTTGCCATTTTGAAATTGGAACTCGTATGTGCTATTTCTTCATGTTCATAAAATTTCCTTTTCAAGTTCCATTGAAAGGAATTAGTATTTTGTTCCTTCTGCTTAACATTTTATGATTGTTAGTCTTTTTGCCACGTGTGCTTCTCTTAAACTGCCATGCATTTTAAATAGCTTCACTTAGTTTTTTCATCTATAGGAAAGATTCATCAAAATGACATATTTCTTAATATAGGCCTAACATGTAGGTTAGGAGAAAGAGTAGTTTTAGCCACCATATATGCTATATTATTTACAAAGTAAAATTACAGGTTTCCTCAAGAATTATATTGGCCCTTGAAAAATAAAATACAAATCAATGCCACAGTGATTTTAAAGCAAAATGTTATGCATTGAATAAAATCTTCTTCATAAACAATGATTCCAAATAGACTTGTAGTTAGAAAACTTTATTTCTCTTTTATCCCATAATTTTTCTCATTCAGAAGTGACCCTTTGAACCCGGGTTAAGTATGTTAAACTCATTTTGTTCTTAAAATAAGCAAATGGGCTCTTTCCCTACTGTAAATCTAGCGTATTATGCAAATATTTTTGCTTAAAATTTTCAATCAACCCAGTGACTGCGTGAAAAAGTTCTTTTCTTTCATGTTTTCACATACTGGTTTACTTTGACTATTTGATTACGTCCTGGGGTACATATTCAAATGGCTACGTTTTCTTGAGTGAACCTTAAAAAACTCCTTGGGGGCCAGGCCGGTGGCATAGTGGTTAAGAGCACGTGCTCCACTTCGGCGGCGCAAGGGTTTGCAGGTTCGGATCCTGGGCACGCACCGACGCACCGCTTGTCAGGCCATGCTGTGGCGGTGTCCCATGTAAAGTAGAGGAAGATGGGCACAGATGTTAGCCCAGGGCCAATCTTCCTCAGCAAAAAGAGGAGGATTAGCATCGGATGTTAACTCAGGGCTAATCTTCCTCACACACACAAAAAAACAAAAAACTCCTTGGCTCCTTCTTTCTTAAGTGCAGTTATTTCTCTACTCCTTTCTCCCACTCCCCACATCTCCATTGATATCTTTATACTTTCTCGTCATCTAGTTTAGTTGTGGCTTATTTTATATTCCATTTATGTGTTGTTTGTAAATATCTTCCTCAATATCAGAAATACTTTCTGGTACCACGTCTTTCTCTTCAGCCTTATAGTCTAGTCAATCAATTAACATCAAATGTAGATCTAGATCTCATAGAAAGATCCACAAGACATAGACGGCACACTTCCTGTTCTTCAGGAACCTTTAATTTACTGGGGGGAGAAACATGCATGTGCAAAGGATGTAAGAATCATACAAAGAAAAAAGTGAATTGCATTTATTTTAAGGGAATTACAAGTACTGATGCTGAGATTTCTAGAGCATCTGCAACAATAAGATGCGAAGTCATGAAGACAGTGTCAGGCCTGCAGGCATCTCAGATCTCATAATTTCATGTGTTAAGTGATATTTTGGGGAGGACATTTATTTTCTGACTATCCTTCCCTCTTTCAGTATGCATGTGAGTGTGCGTAAAATCAGCACTTTGGCATGTAGACTTAAGAGTATGCATATTCATGTTCAAACTCTTGTTTTGTTTTGTTTTTTCAAATGTGAGATTGGCTGGGGTTCTGTGATAAGGGGCTTGTCACATTACATGTCATTTCAAGTTCACTTTTCCCCAAAAGCTAACAGTGCTAGAGACAAGAACCATTACCAGATGAATAGTCTACCTAAGGAACTTGTCAGTTTTAGAGGACCTACAGCATGTTAGTTCCTAGGGCAAAATACCTCATGCAGAGTCAGGGAAGCTTTTTTATTTTTCAAGTTGGTAATTATTTCTGCCTTACATAGTCTAATGTTTTTAAGAGCAGAAACAAGTCCCCATTGTTAGAATTAAGGGAAAAAATTCTTAACTTTATTCAATAATGGTACCAGCAAATGACAGCTTAACCTATCTTTAATTTTCCTACATCAATTTTCTAGAAGAACTAAACCAGACATTCACAAAGAGGTTTAAAGACTGTTTCTCTTTTGAAAATATTATAAGATACTAAATTTCCTATCAAATTTGAAAACAAAGAAAAATTCACAATTAAGACTCCATTTCATAAAGGACAAATACACCGTGTATAATACTTGGTTTATTTCAGAGACTTAAGGAGCAGGACTTCCACTAGCCTAAGAGCAACGGCAAAGAAATGATCAATTACTCCTAATCCTGTTTGGAAGCACAATGAAAGACTGAACCACAAAAACACAATTCAATTTTGAATATACTTCCTAATCCTCACACCACAGTATGATGTAGATACTACTGTTATTCCCATTACACAGATGAGGCAACTGAGGACCAAAGTGTAAAACCTCACAGTCATGTGGTGGCAAAACTGGGATGCGAATCCAAGAAGTCAATATTTTTATGGTTAAATCACCAGTTAAAAAGCATAGCAAAATAGAAGCAGTAACAGTGACTGCTTTATGTGAATTCCTAATCCTTCTCTAGCTATCAACCCTTAGCAGCTAGAATTTTGGAGATATGTCCTTGTTGGGCTTATTTCTGGAAGAGAAGTTTTAAGATGAACCCAGGAAGAATTTCATCTTGCCAGTGCTGAAGAGTCTGTGCTCAAGACCATGTGTTCAATCGTATACACACACAAAAGGCGTCGGGATATTCTTTCTGTCGATTAGAGGAAGTTAAGGATGAGATGGAGTTTTGTGATACTAACACCTCCTTTTCTTTTTTCATAACACTGAGCACTAGTATAGCTCACTATCTGGCCACAAGAGGTGCTTCAATAAATGTTGGCTGAATAAAGACAAAGGCAGAGTTATGTTTTAATCAACTCACTGACTCTTGGCCTCTTTATTAAAAACTCAGAAGCAAAAATTTGCTGTTTCATTTATTTTCTCTAGAGTAAGGGCAAGATCAAGTGGTAGAAACAACAGTGAAATTCAGAAATCCTGTCTCTTAGGCCCTGTGGCTTTTGCACCTACAGGTGTGTTTAGATGTCTGCTGAAAAGGGCAAAGAATAAGCTGGCAATTTTACTATTCGAAAATCTTTAACACACACCAAACTGCTATGGAGTTGAGCAGTTTGTACTGGTTCATGGTATATTTTTCCATAGTTGTCCCTTTGTTTCAGACTACAGGGTAGTCTGGGAATATAGTCCTGGGAATATATACCCAGGAAACTGGGTAATATACTATGACAACACATGTAGCAGCAATTAGGAATTAGAAAGGGCCTTCGCTGCAATTCTTAGATTCCTACCTCCTGTAGAGAAAGCTTAAGAAACAGATTTAACCATAGGTGTATTTTAGTAAATATACTTCTCTTTGTAAAAATGCACGTTTATTTTCTTATTAACATCTAACAACTACCATTTTCTTATAGTGCTATTGAAATCATGTTTTGAGGTCTATTTATTTAGATGATAAATTAAAAGAGATGCTGTCTATATTTTTCTTTTAAAAATAAGTGTGTGCATTTTTTGGCACTATACAGAAGTTAAATAAACAAGGTTCTGAAGCAGTTTATTTGTGTTCAAAAATGCAATTCTATTTCATTTGGAAAGAGATCCACTGCAAAACTTTCTTGACAAATGGTTGAAAGATGGTAAAAGGACCTGAGTAAACAAGTTTCAAGGTGAGGAAGGGCGAGATCATAGAAAGGATAGACTGTCCGCCATTTCATTTGTGGTGACACGATCCAGCACAGCTGTATCGGCTTCATAGGGACCTTCTTTCATCCAAACTGTATAAGAGACTGGCTGGAACTAAACTGAACAGTAGTAGAGAATAGGCCGGCAAAGTGGTTTTGTTGATGCACGTCCTTCAAAGAGCCCCAGTGCTCAAAGTTGTGTGGATTTCTTGGAATATCAAGAGTCCTCTATTTCTAGATTGTGCACTTTAAGAGAGTTCCAAAAATCAGACACCCACTTAGAAGTGTTTACGTGTGTCTTGGGGTAAGAGGGTATATAGGCTTGTTAAATAAAAACACCAGTTAATGTGGCAATAGGACATCAGTGACAATATTTGAGCTGAATTCCAGAAAAATTTTTGTCAATGACAAATTCTATTTGTCTTTCTATAACACCATTCTAGTCAAAAGTGTAGATCTCCTTTAAAAAGCACAAATTTATAAAATTTGAGAATAGGCAGCATATCTTTATTGGAAAACTTGGATAAAGAAGGCTTTCTAGGTATTTTCCAACTCTTATTCACAATACTTTTTTTAAGTG